TGTCACACTAAGAAACCTACCTCGCCTACCTTTGGTACTCCCAAAAAAAGTTCCGCTCAGGTATCTGAGCACAGCCGCCTAGGTGGTCGCCCAGCAACCTAGCCAATCTGGGACCCTGGACGCCTCCGAATTCTTGAACATTTGATTATCACTGAGGATCATGAGTTTATTAGGTCAATACTGAGAAGGTAACTTTGGATTCCGGTCTAACTGAGTGGAGTGGTCCGATACCTAATTCAACTCTAAGGATCCCAATTTCCTTTTTAAATATTTTTAAATGATGCCGAAATGTGTTATTTTGATGGAGAATGCTTTGGTGATTTTTTGGGAATTGTTGGAGATTTTTTGAAATTTTCTGAGCAAGAAATTAGATTTCCAGTATTGTTCTTGAGAAAGGACAAAAAAGGACAAAACTGATGGACCCACACATGGCTCCCAAATGGCCAATGAGTGCCTACGTGGGCCTGTGGGGGAGTCCACGTCAGCCCCACATGGGGATGTCATCCCCCACAATGGAATCTATTTTTCATTTGATTATTTGTTAATTGATGACGTTTTTGGTTGTGGATTTTGATGGAATTTTGGAAATTCAAAAATTGGATTTTTGGCACATGTTTTGTGGTAAATGCATATGTGTGAAACCTTCTAGAAAGGGCATAAGGTTTGATATTTCAATTGAAACCCCTAAGGACATATAATGGTGCACTTAACCACCTCACCCATGTAGCACAATATGATTGGTTGAACATGTTTTGAGGGAAATTTAATTTCCAATATTTGCTACGAAATGTGCCAAATTCCCATAAGGGCAAGCCCCTAACTTTGATTTTTAAGTTTATTATGTGAAATGAGCATGGGCATTTTTATAGAAGGGAAATTCGGAGTGAATTAAGGATTAATAGAGGTAGTGGTGTTTTAATCATATCCACACATCAAGACGGTATGATGGAGGATGGAAGACTAGGATCAAGCCTCTCTTTGGAACTATGGATGATGAACGTCAATGGCCAAGATTGTTCATCTAGAATGTTCTTAAAACATATCCACACTAAACACTATAAATACCCCCTCAATCTCTACAACATACAACAAAATTTATCTCTCTCTCAAAAGGGGCACGCCCCACCTAATATTTCTTTTTCTATTTTATTTTGAAGATTCTTAATGAGAGGAATATGTCTAAATGAGGTACGCCCCTCTTCTCTATCCTTCTCTCTATCTCCTCCAACATTTCCTTAAGTTTTAAAGAGAGAGAGATCATCTCATGAGTAGCATGCCCTTTTCAAGTCATTCCTCTCCTTCTTCATAAGAGCAAAGTTTCAATGAGAGAAAGAAAAAAGGATGTGAAGATCTAATGAGAGAGAACCATGTTAAAGCTCCATGGGAGCTTGATCTCAAACTTGGATGAAACCCGAGCTCCATGGATATTTGATTCTTTGAAGGGATCATCATCAAGCTTTTTCATGAAGATTTTTTATGGTTGTAAATTCACATTTACAGCAAGGTATTGTGATCTATTTTCATCTGATTCATGTGATCTTGAGTTTATATTATTTCTTGAGGTTGATGATTTGATTCCTAGTTGATTGATTTAAGTTTGGAGAGATTTTCATTGTGTTGTGTTGGGATTTAATTGGCTGATTTTCTCTACAATTTTTAAATCCACATTAACCAGTTAACTCATTCTCTTATAGAGTAATTTGGTGAGATTTTGAAAAGGCAATTATGCCCTAATCTCCATGCTCATACTATTCCATTACTCACCAAATTGAGAGTGATTTGTGACCTCATGTTTTTTCACTCATTCTTGGATCCTATTTCTTAAGTTGTCTTATAATGTGCCTTAAATAAAATGTAGAAGCTATGATCCTTAATTACTTCCTAATTTGGTAATGCAAAATTGGGCTATATCTTATGTCATCTAGAAGTCATCCCATAGTACATAGCTAAATCCTATGGCCATAATCTAGGCAAATATGAGCTCAATGTATAGCTTCCCATGATCAAACCAATTATACACATATAATATTTCTATTTGGTGGAGGAGGAGATTGAATTTAAAGTTTATGATGTAATTCTAAAATCATGTATTATTTGGCAATGTATTTGCATATTGCTATATTTTTAGTTCTATTATCATGTGTTAAATCAATCTCCTTGATGTATCTTGTGTCTTGGACTTTATCAAGTAATTTTCTTTTTAAATGTATATTGAAACCAAGTTTGGTGGTTGGATTTGTGTATTGTTGATGTAAGATCAATGTAATTGAAGCATTATTGTATTGAATTGAGAAAACATTTCATGGCACTTGAACTTGGTTTTATACACTATCAAAAGCCCATATGAAAGTATAGGGCCATTATACTTTTCGGTATCCCTTTTGTAGAGGAGAAAATATTAAATTACAAGGAACAAGGATCTATAAAAAATATAGACTACTATAAACATTTGAGGAGACAACTACAGTACTAAAAGAGATTTTCGAGCACAATTTCTTTCAATGTTAGCTAGGCATAAATTAGATTAGCAAAATGACTATCAAGAAGTCAATTTGATGGTTAAATCTTCCAAACCTTACCTGTGGACCACTGCCAAACAGGTCATCAGGAGTAGACGTGCACATTAGTACCAAGTCAACGTCATCTGCTTCAACCTGAGCCATTTCAAGGGCCTTCTTTGATGCCTCTATGGCCAACCCAGTTAACGTTTCTCCCCCTATAAAATGGACGTAATGACAACAACAATAGAGGTTTTATTTTGAGCTTTCTAGCCAAAAAAAAAACAATTAGCTCGAATCTTCCAACAATTTGTAGGACATCTACATAAAATTCAGAATCATTTCACTAGAACCATGGATGAGTTGGGGTTTTTCTTATCAATCAATTGATGAGTTGAGTCAAAGAACTTTTAGTAGTGCCATAAACAAAATAATGGAAGGCACCATAATAACCAACCTTGGCTCAACAGGAACATATACCTGAAAGGATCCGTCGATTGCGAATTCCCGTACGTACAGAAATCCAATCATCTGAAGTTTCAACAATTTTTGCAAGGTCATCATTGGAAATAAGAAGCTTTGGCACAGCTGAACCACAACCAATCAGCTTGGAACCCCGACCTACGATTCTGCATAAAGTTGAATCAGAAAGAACCATCTCCCATGAAACAAGGGTAAGCAATACCATATTTATGAACTAGTGAAATGAATTAGTCTCATGGGCAACCCAAATATCATATCAAGTAAGTTTAACAAGCATGGACACTTACACCAAAATATAAAAAGTGATTCACCATAAACTAGCAAGACCAGGCAGTTTCACACTTGCAATAGCATATAAAAGCTTCAGTGACACCCAAGATGCAGCAGAAGCAGCCAGTAATCCACAGCAATGTTGTGGTAGACCGAGAGACAAAAACAAAGAGATATGCATAGCATGAACATCCTTAACAACAATTGAAAAATGACGCACAAGAGTGCAGCCAGAAGTTTCAAACTCCAACATCTCATATCATCTAAGTTTAACACGCATAGACACTTCCACCAAAACATAAGAAGTGGTCAACTATAAACTGGAAAGACCAGGCTGTCCGCAATAGCATATAAAAGCTTAGATAACCCACAAGATGGGGCAGAAATAGCTAGTAAACAGACCACAGCAATGGTATGGGAGACAGACGGAAAACAAAGAGAAGCATGGCTTTAGCATTAACATCGTTAGCATCAAATGAGCAATGATGTACATGAGTGGAGCCAGAAGTTTCAACCACCAAGATCAATAAGGAGCACACACATCCCCAAGAAGATTTTAAATCACTAAGGGCGTGTTTGATAACTAGAAGTTTGGGGGAGGAAGATGGAACTTCCCCATTACTGTACAACTTCCATGTTTGATGCACAAACGTAACACAGTGACCATTGCACATATAAAAAAGCTTCCGTCTAAAATGACAGAAGTTAAAATAAGAACTTTATGCCCTCGAAGAGGCCTTCTTTCAAAAACCCTAATCTCACTTCTTCGGCTCCCTCCTCATGCCATTGGACTCCCGCTTGCCTCCTCCAAGCTTCCGCCTCCTCTCAAGAGAAGAGACGCCCCTCATCTCTCGCAGGCACCTATCTCATATCTCTCCGTCTCTCTCCTATTCGCCTTCTATCTCTCGCCCCTGCTCTATCACTCTCTCTCTCTACAGAAAAATGTTGTTTACAGCTTTTCCACTACAAAACCCTACCTCTCTCTCTCTCTCTCTCTCTCTCTCTCTATCTCTCTCCCCTATTTTTTGATGAATTGGGGGACCTAGTGATCATAGAGCTACAGGATTTTGGTAATTTCAGGGTCTTAAGTTTTAAGAAAATACGGTTTGGTCTTTATGTTTTAAGAAAATGGGGTTTGGTTTTTGGATTAAGGTATAATGTTTCGAGAGCTTTATGTTTTCAGTGATTTCAATGTCGTGCTTTTTGCATAAACCTCTTCGTGATTTCAGAGCTTCTAATTTTTGGGCTTGCATGCTGATTTTTGTGTTACCAAGTTATGCATTATCACCTAATAAATCCATTTGAAATATATTGCATTTTATGATGAAATAGGATACAATGGTTGTAAGGATCTCGTTTTTTTTCCCTTGGGTTTTCAGGAAATAAGTTGACATTGCTGCTAAAAAAAAAGAAAATCATACGGTTTAAATATTGTGCTGTAATTTACATTTTTGGATCTTCTGATACTGTGAACTTTTCATTTTTATTGCTCTATTTTGGATGTAAATTTTGCCACCCATGTTTTTATATATGCCACTCAACTAATGGGTGGAGATACTACCCTGAGCCATTTGGTTTTTGCCACCACAGTTTTGGGTAGTTGATTGGACACCATGAAGCATGAGTGCACAAGATTGCACTGATAGGGAAAGTATTGTCACCTATATATCAGTTACCTTGTGTTTTTGTTTTGCATGCTAAATGCGTTCATGCTGTATGTCTGGTATTGTCTCTGTAATCCTTAAATTGGCTTGGTATTACACTATTACTTTATGTAGATTGTATTTTTCTGGTATTTGGACTCTCTTTGGAATGTGGATTGAATGTTTCTTCTTGTTTTTACATGCGACCTATATCTTTTTTGATAAGAACATTGGACCTATATCACTGCATGTAATTGCAATTTTTATTATTTGGAGTTGAGATGTATGGCATGTGGTTTGAATGTTTTTTTTTCTGAATTTAATGGGCTGGGCCGATTAATGGTGATTGAATTTGCACTTTTGATATGCTGGAGTATGTAAATATGTGGAAATGGAGGAGCTTCTACTTTGTTATTGCTCACAACGTGTCATTTCTCATGGCATGCATGACGGTGCTTTATAGAGTTATCACTAATCCTTCCCCATATGTGTAATAGGAAATGGCACACAAACTAACGCTTATATAGCTCTACAAAACATTGAGTTCTTTCTTATTCATGCCATTTAAACTCATGCTTATATAGCTCTCTTGACATAATGATCCTCTTTTGATGCATGTATAAGTGCCCAACTATGCAGTCTTGCAATTGCTAATGAAACACAGATACCCAAAACGTCTTAATATTTTTTAAACTCATGCTTATATAGATCTCTTGACATAATAGCCTCTTTTGATGCATGTATAAGTGGCCAATTGTGCAGTCTTGTAATTGCTAATCAAACGCAGATACCAAGAACTTCCTAATATTCCAATAGGTTGTCAAACACAGGTGCCTAGAATTTCTTTAACATTCTAGCAGGATATCAAACACAGACACCTAGAACTTCCTTATAGTAACTTCTTTCTTCCCAGAAAAGAAGAACTTCCAATTTTCAGGGAACATTTACCTTCCAGCAATCATACAGGCCCTAGGGAAACAAAGGGAGAAATGCGGAAGGATAACGAAATCTGTCCATTTGATCATGTGAACTATGAAAATCATAACAACCATCCAAATAAGAATATTTACATGCATCTTGTCCTCTCTCCAAGGGTACAACTACATATCATGAGTGGTGTTGTACAACATACTATAACAAGGATGAGAGAATCCCATTATTTGTAATTTGTAAACCATGTTAGCATGGCGATAGAACATGAAAGGAAGATATGGGAAATGGAATCAATGGAGTCGATGATGGCAAAGAAATCAACACATTTAGGAAACATCAAACCCAAGAAACTCAAGATTGGAAGGAAGAAGAAGATGAATGAGAACCAAAAAGACATGCAACTAATACAAAACTTCGAAGGATTAAAATAGGGTAACACGTGTCAAAAATGCAACTAATTTGACATAAGATCCATAATATGATTGTAATGGGGACACTTGGGATTTTCTTACCCTGAAGCACAGCTAGCTAAATCCAACTGTGTGTGGTGTGGATTGAACGTGAAGTTCTGTCGAAGTCCTACAAAGTCACTGAGAATGGAACTCTCATAAAGCTTCCCACCAGAAGTATTGGAGACATGAAAAGTTTTAGTATTCATATTGCTCCAATGTTAAGAATATTAAGTCATGTAATAATGAATATTCCATGGCAAAGAGCAACTTCTGGGGGAGTGTTCATAGATTATGTGGCTACTGTCAAATGTAGAGTGTGTGTGTGTGTGTGTGGACAGAGAGAAGAGAGAGAGAGAGAGAGAGAGAGAGAGAGAGAGAGAGAGAGAGAGGTAGTAGTACAACACTATAGTACTTACTACGAGAGTAGTAGTAGTACGTTAAACGTTAAAACTAACTACTACTACGTAGTAACTTAACGTTTAGTTGACTAGTCGTACGTACGAACTACTAACGTAAAGTA